ACTTTTGAAGTTTTGATTATGCCTTGGCATGTTTTATGCTCGTCCGACTCTTCGACGGCTCAAACGAGAACCTCGAATATGAGTCGATATGTGACGATAGCTGAGTACCTCGTGAGGTTCGCTCGAAGGCTGAGTTTTCAAAACCTTTTCATCGAAGGCTGATTGTTTTCGAAACCTTTTTGTTGTTCGGAGCTGATATTATCGAAGCCCTTTGCTTATGCCGAGGGTAGCCTGATTAACCGGTTCTTTTCGAAGTATTTTCGAAGTATTTGAAGTCCTTTAGTTTTATGGCGGCAGTCGGACGTCTCCGAGCCGCGTTAATTCGGCCGTAGCCTTTTAGTTCGACCGTAGTCTTTACATTTGGTCGTAGCCTTTAGTCCCCGGGTGCGGTAACCTTGGCGTCTATGTTGAGGGTATGCCTTTTTAGGGGTCTTACAAGTTCGAATATATATCCTTGGCCTTAATATCGGGGTTATGCTTTTTTAAGGTCTTATAAATTTGAGTACGCCTCGTTGAGGTCTTATAAGCTCGGTATTGCCTCATTGAGGTCTTATAAGTTTGGGCATGCCTCGTTGAGGTCTTACAGATTCGATGCTGCCTCACTGAGGTCTTACGAGCTCGAGTTTTTGATGGCTTCGATGAACTGACTATCGATGGTTGTCCCCGAGTGTTCGAGGATTTTTGGCCCTTGAGCCGTTTTGCGTGACAGTAGCAAACTTCTTTGAGGCACAAAGTGTTTTGATAAGCAAAGATCCTTCCTCATTTACTTGATATATGCGTACATGTTTTTTGCCTTTTGAGGCTCGACTATTCTACATGGACACGGTTCATTTGACTGTTTGGCCCAATACAACATTCTCCTATCGAGGTCCTCCTAGGCATAGTTCGATTTCTTTCGAGAGGTGACCTCCCGGGGTGATGCCCCCCAAGTATTTGAGGTTGATCGAAGAGAAGCCTTGAATACTTGATGAGTTCTCCTTAGGTAGCATATGGATGTTGCCTCGTTAAAAACCTTGCCGGTAAAACCCGTTTGGGATAAAACCCGATCTAAGGGAAAAAGAGCGCAACGCATGCTTTAAAACCCAAGGTCTTAGAGCTGGAGGGTGCTTCGATTCCTCTCAATCGAACATCTGCAATAAGTTAGTATAAAACATAAATGAAAAGGGAGAGGGTTGTACCTTAGCAATGATAGCGTTCGAGCCTCGATACGTTTCAATTGCTTGCTCCGAGGATGCGGCACGGTCCTTTATTCACTCATTCGGATGTAGCCGAGAATGTCGGTTGTGGTTGCTACCTGGTTGTTTGCTTATCTTTTGGCTTCTTCGATGTAGAGGGCGTCGATGCCGGTGCCATGTCGTGCACCACGAACATCTCTCTTGCTGCATGCTGCTCCCCGTACACTGCTTTTACTCCATCCTTGGGTTGAAATTTCATCATTTGATGAAGGGTTGATAGCACTGCCCTCATACTGTGTATTCACTGCCTCCAAGTAAGGCATTGTGTCTCATGTCACCTTCGATGACATGAAACTTGGTATCTTGGATTGTACCGGCCACATTGACCGGGAGGATGATCTCCCCTTTCGTTGTCTCGCTCGCCATGTTGAATCCATTGAGGAGTCGAGAGGCGGGTATGATCTGGTCAAGCAGTCCGAGCTGCTCCACCACCCTCGACCTGATTATGTTGGCCGAGCTACCTGGATCACCAGCACATGTTTAATTTGAAATTTATTCATAAGAAAAAAATTACTAGTGCGTCATTATTAGGCTGAGACAAGGTCTCGATGTCCTCTTCGCTGAATGTGAGAGCATCCTCTGGTATGTAACTCCGAGTTCACTTTTCCCTGGTGATGGATATTTTCATCCGCTTGACAACGGGTCCCTGTGGGGCGTCGACCCCTCCAATGATCATGTGGATGACGTGCTATGGTTCTTCTGGTTCGTTCTTCCTGTTCGCCTCTCTTTGCCGAAATTGGTTTTTTAGCTCGGCCGCTGAGGAACTCTCGAAGGTGCCCTTCGCTGATCAGTCGGGCTACCTCTTCTCGAAGCTGTCTGCAATCCTCGATCCTCTGACCGTGAGTGCCGTGATATTTGCATACTAAGTTAGGGTTCCTCTGTGAAGGGTCTGACAGTATAGGTTTTGGCCACCTGGTATCTTTGATTTTACCTATGGCCGATACGATGTCCGAGACATCGACGTTGAAGTTGTACTCAGATAGCCGGGGTGCCTCTACCGGCCCAGTGTGCCTACTAACCCGGCTTTACTCATGAGTCCTTGGGAACTTTGACCTCGATCTGTCCTTTGATCGCCTCGAGGTGTATTATGCCTCGGGGCGTTTCTTCGATCTTCTACATATGGCTGGTATCTTTGCTTGTTTGGTCTCGACTCCCTTTCTGTAAACCTTTGCTCCTTTGTTAAGAGCTAGCTAGGATATATTGAGCCCGAGGGGGCTCCTAATTGGTCGTCTTTGACCCTAATCTTCGATTGATACCTGTTGTGCACATCCGCCCAGGTCACGGCGGGATATTCGATCAAATTTTGTTTTAGCTGCTTTGAAGCTACCGAGCTTCGTTCGTTCAAGCCTTGTGTAAAGGCCTGTACTGCCCAGTCTCAGAGACTGGTGGTAATTCCATTCGCTCCATCTAAAAGCGAGATACAAAATCCCTTAGCATCTCGTTTACTCTCTGTTTGATTTTGAAGACATTAGACTTCCTGGTGGCGATCTTGATGGCACCAGTGTGTTCCCTCATAAAAGAGTCTGCCAACATGGCAAATGAATCTATTGAATTTGGGGGTAGGTTATGATACCACATCATAGCCCCTTTGACAGTGTTTCTCCAAATTTCTTTAATAAGACGGACTCAATTTCATCATCCTTTAAGTCATTCCCTTTTACAACACAAGTATGAGCGGTAATGTGCTCATTGGGGTCCATGGTCCCGTTATACTTCGGGACATCGGGCATTCTGAATTTCTTCGGGATGGGCTTCGGAGCCGCACTTGATGGGAATGGTTTTTGTACGAACTTCTTTGAATCTATGCCCTTCAGAATCAGGGGTGCGCCCGGGATCCGATCGACCCTCGAGTTATAAGTCTCCACGTTTTTATCGTTAGCCTCTATCTTCTTTTCTCCTGATTCAATCCTTTTGGTGAGTTCCTCGAGCATCTTCATAATAGCGGGGTCCGCTGCTGACCTGTTGTTACTCGATCTCTCTGGCGCCTGATCGACTCGAGGAACCGTTTCCGGTGCTGCTGTGCTTGGAGTTTTTTGTTGACTTTGTAGCTTAGCAATAGCCACTTGTTGTGCTTGCAACATCTTAAAAATGACTTGGAGGCTAACTTCTCTTTCCTCCCGAGCCGGAGTCCCCTATGCTTCATGTTGGTTTTCCCCGCGCGCACTTCCGTTGGTATGAGAGTTTACATCTACATGCATAGCATTGCATGAGCTCACGTCGACGGGAATTTATGCTGGTGCCAACCCTGAGTTTTGCGGTGGTACACCGGCATCTGCACCGTTCTCTCCATGAAGCCCAATACCGTTGTTTTTGCGTGCATTTGCTGAGTTAGACATTTTTGACATGAAATCAGAGATTCTTGGACAAGAAAAAGTGTGAAGAATAACTTGTGTTTTCAGAAAACTAGCACCAAAACAATCACTATTATTTTTAGCTCCACGGTGGGCGCCAAACTGTTTACCTTGAAAATGGTATCAACAAAAATATTTGATTTTGTGGTTCTAAAAATATGTGATTTATTTCAATACTAGTTGTTTGGCAATAGATGCTAAGTGTAAGTAAAGAGAATAAGATATGCAAACCAATGTTGTCACAAGATTGGGCCTCGAGCTGGCTGGAACAGGGGGCCTCAAGGTCTAGTTAGGGCAATTAGCAATGAACACTTGATGTAGAAACAATGATATCAAAGGCCTCGAAGATAGCCTTTTGTGGTTAATAATGGGCAATAAATGAAGAACAATAAATGAACAAGCAATAAATCTGTAGAGTAATCGTTGAATACGTTTAGGCAAGAAAAGCAGAGAATGTTCTATTGTATTCAATATTCATCTGTCTTTACAAAATGACAAGGGTCCCCTTTATATAGGAGGGGGAATCCCAACATAGTACATGTCTAATATGACGAGGAAATGCTATTGGTACAGCTGTATAATGGCTCAGTACGGATTTGTACTATTCTTGCAGACTTGGTCAGCTCTAATCACGTATCCTTGGGAGCTTTCCCGCCTTTCCATGACGATCATCGATTTGTACTGCTGCGAGATTGACCACAGTGAACCTTCGATATGTTCGCTCGAGGACGCACCTCGGGGTCACACTTCAAATTCTGCTTCGAGCTTCTCGAGGTCGGGCATGGAGTGCCATAGTAGCCCTAAAGTTGAACTCCCCGATTTTGGCCGTATACAAAGAGAGACACCTGGACTGCTTTTTTATACTTGAGCTCAAGTTTATAGTCAGATTGAGCAAGCAGTAGAAATATCAATACATAAAGATAATACTATGGGACAATCCAGAATTGCTGATTAGGATAATACCATTCCTCCTCTAAATTTGTCTCACATATAGCTCTCTAATTGTAAAAAATATAGCCGTCCATTATACAAAATTGGTTATAGGTCTTTGTCTTTTTGTTTTTCCCCTTTTGTATAAGTAGGGATACATATACAATGTAAAAATACAACGTTTCAAAGGCATGCAAAATATTCCTATTGCTTTCATAGTATCAGGAGCAGGTGCTCAAATTTAGAGATCTTATTTCTCTACCTTTTGTTGTTTCCTCCATTTCTTCTTTTCCTTTCATCTCTTCTGTTCTATCATTTCCTTGCTATGGTTGTTGCTTCAGAATCTGGTATTTCATCTGGAGAAGTCACACCTGGGACTATCCTTCTGCTGTTGGGAACACCACATTAGTAGCTTCAAATTTGGTGGATAGAACTCATCCATATTTTCTCAACTCTTCTGATTCTACTGGAATGGACTTTATTAATGTCAGTTTTGATGGAACTAGTTATGGAAATTGGAGAAGAGGGGGTATTAATCTCTCTTTCTGCTAAAAACAAACTAGGATTCATCAATGGTTCATGCCAAAAGCCAGTTGAGAACTCACCTCTGTTTGCACTGTTTGCACAGTGGAGGAGATGCAATGACATGGTCATTACTTGGCTGTTAAACTCCTTAAGAAAGCATATAGCAGAGAGTGTTATTTACTCTCAGACAGCTGAAGAACTTTGGGCTGAGCTAGAACAAAGATATGGCCAGGCTGATGGTGCAAAGCTGTTCCAGCTGCAAAGAGAACTTAACAACATTTTGCAAGGAACAAATGATGTTGCAGCATACTTTACTAGGCTCAAAAGAATATGGGATCAAATGAAAGTTCTTAGTACCTTCATGAATTGTGGGTGTGAGTGCAAATGTGGAGCAAAAGCTCACGATCACAAAATGAATGAAGATAAAAAACCTAATCCAGTTCTTGATAGGGCTTTATGAGGGATATTCTGGAGTAAGGGGAAACATCCTCATGATGAAGCCTCTTCCTTCCACAGCACAAGCTTATTCAATCATTTTACATGAAGAATCTCAAAGGGAGGTACATTATGGTCACCGTGTGTCAACTGAGCCTAGTGCTTTCAATGTTAATGCACAAAAAGCTAATAGTGAGTATAGGGGTGGAAATCATAACAGTAACACTGAAGCAAGAAAAAAACAACTTCTGCTCATACTGTAAAAAGCCGGGACACCAAAAAGAGATATGTTATAAACTGGTTGGTTACCCACCGTCTTTCAAGTTCACTAAGCCAAAGAGAAACTTTGGAAATGTACAGGCTAATGCAACAGTGATTGAGGAACGTGAAACATCAGCAGGAGGAGCAGTTATGTCACGCACCACCCTCGGGAGGCGCGACCGGCGCTCGATCGAGTGGACCCAACCGAGCAAGCCTTATCACACACTTCCTACCCCACTCTCCATGAATAAGATAGCCATGCTTCCTTTTTATTTAAACAGGGAAAAGGTGATACATTCAACCATGTTAATTCATTTTATATATTTCAGGCTTAAACCGTGGTTAAAGTTAATTTCTGGGATTCTCATAAAGTCACAATTTATAGAAAGCAGGAGTTTATAATTACAACATAGTTCATGAGCCCCACAACACCCATACATGACCCACACATATGTCTACGGAGCCTCTAAGGATACAAAAGACGAGGACGACAATGCCGGCAATAAGGCCCCGGCTATACCTCAAAATGAAAATCCACAACAACAAAAGATATACAATACAACCCCTTGAAGGAGGAAGGGGCTCACCAAGACTTTGAGGAGAAGGTAACCTGCTACGCGCGATCGGCACTATCCGCAATGGAGCCACCTACATTCATTTAAAAAATATAGCGCCCCCGGCAAAAGGGACGTTAGTACCATGGAATAGTACTAGTATGTATAACTAAACACCATTTTACTAGAAAGAACTACCAAGCAAGAACAAAGAAATCACAAGAGTAAATCAAAGGTTTTAACCGCACACCACATCGTCACATAAATGAATCATATCATCTTCCACACAATTTCCATAACTTAGTTTGGGGCATTTCTTTCATACGCTCATCACTGTTCTTAATACCACCGCTATCTTGAGCGGAGTCCGATCACGACCCGATCGGCTAGGTCGCGTCATTTGAGACATATACCTCGATCACCATTTCATTTCCCTTTTTCCGGAATTCAATATTTGCACATCACCCCCATGTGTGCGGCATGGTGTCCGATCACGGCCCGATCGGCTAGGCCGCCTTACCTAGGCGTTGTTCCTTTCTCATTAATCATCTCATTCGAATCTTTATTTCACTTAGATCACATCAATTCATTGGAACTTAGGGCCACAGCTATCACATCATTCCAATTCCAATGTCCATCTTGCAATTTTATGGCCATAGGCACACACAAGCAATTCAAGTTACAAACATAGGTAAGTTTTCACATAATTAACATGATAATTCCAGTTTTAATCTCGGCTTACAGCCTAGGCATTTCAACACATGATTCGTATTCTTCACACTTCTCTAAATATCAAGAAAGGAATATTATTCACATTGAGGCACATCCTTGATTTACATACATATATATATATATATATATATATATATATTGCAAATCAATTAATGTGAAATACAATCAATACATCAACCAATTCTAGCCTTACCACACCTGCGTAAACGCCAACGGAGCTCAATTTCTAATAAAAGGGGGTTTTAGCCATACATACCTCAATATAGCTTTCCTTAGTCCTTACAAAATTCCGGAACTCTTGGCACTTCGATCTATCGTGTAAGAATTACAAATGGAACTGAGAATTAGAGACGAGATTGAGATTCTAGCTTAGTTCGAGCATATCATCAAACACTAAAGGTGCATTGTGACTTTAGGCCCTTTTTGTGAGGAATTTCTATCATTTTATACCCCCAATTGCCCTCTTTTTAGTTTTCTACCTTCCAATATCCTATGGTGTGATATGCATGTAATAATTTCATTCTTATACTCATAAATTACTTCAATACTGACCCCTTATAGCTAAGTTATAGAAATAAGAGCTGGGGTGATGAATCTTACCTCTTGGGAATGAAAATTTAGGTGTCTTCACTTGATCTTCTTCAATGTTTTAGCAAGGCTCAAGGAGTAATTTAATGGGAGATACTTTCCCTCTCTAAGAACCTCTCTCTCTCTCTCTAAAAGCCTCAAAAGATCTGCTTAAAATGATCTGTAATACCGAATATATCGATAGGGGGTTGGGTTTAAAAATTAGAAAATTGGAGCCCCGAGTCAGGTTTGCGATCGCAAAGTGGAAATGCGGCCCGCAGAATGGACCGCAAAAGTGCTCCCAAAATCTGATCATTCTGTCTGGGTTTGCGGCAGAAATGCGGTTCGCATACCCGTTCTGCGGTCGCATAATGCACCGCAGAACTGCCCTTTTACAAAATTCCAAGATAATTATGCGGCGACTATGCGGTCCGCATATCAGTTATGCGATCACATAATGGACCGCATTTTGACCTCAAATTTGACTAACACACTGACTCACTTTGCGATAGAAATGTGGTCCGCATACTTGATTTGCGACCGCATTCTAGACCGCATAATAGCACTTTTCTGGAAAACTTTGATTCTTGATTTTTAAATGCTTAGATCAGTACAAAGGGTCCGAACCGCGTAATTTGGCACTACGAGCTTTTAAGTTTTAAGTACAAGTTTTCACGGGGCCTTACAAGTTTTCACTGGAGGTGTTGCACCTAGCCTAATGAATCCACAGGGGTTCACAAAAGAACAGTGTGAGCAGCTGTTCAGATGATACAATCTGTGCAGGCTGGAAACATAAGTACTTCAGGTTCTGATGCTAATGCAAGTGCCAACTTTTGTGGGTAAATGTGCTGCTTTTCACACCTTTATTTCTTATTTTACAACTATCACATTAAAGTTTTGGATAATTGATTCAGGAGCCTCACAACATATGACTCATGATAAAACACTTCTAAACAATTTCAAACAACTCCATTTCCCTATTCAAGTTACACTACCAAATTCTTATAAAGTCAAAGTTTACAGTTTAGGAAGTGTATTAGTTTCACCCGATCTTGAGTTGCATAATATTTTTATATTCCTTCTTTCAAACATAATCTTTTGTCTGTTAACCAACCGTGTAAGCAGCTGAATTCTGATATTTTGTTTACTAAATATGAATGTTTTGTACAAGTCCCTTCTCTGAAAAGGCAAATGGTACTTGGTGAAGCTTTTGGTGGTCTCTATGTGCTGGAAGTTGATTCAACTAAGTCTAGAGTGTCTAAGTCAGATTCAGTGTCCATTGAGTCTTTATTTCCTTTCCCTAAAAGTCATGTGAAGACTTGTAATGCAATCAACTCAGAGTCTTTTGAACAGTCTTGTAGTTCTGTCCCAAAGTCTGTTCAAACATCTGTAAGAGGAATTTTTTCATCTAATGAAAGTTTGAATATTAATAAAGCTGCAGTTTCTGATTCTATGAATTCCAACAAACTTTGGCATTTAAGATTGAGGCACTTACCTTATCATGCAATGAAGAATATAAAGAATATATCTCTTTCATCAACTGATAAACAAGTTTTTCCTTGTGACATCTGCCCAATTGCAAGACAGTCCAAATTGTCTTTTCCAACAAGCTCTATTAACTCTAAACAGTATTTTGAATTACTACACATAGACACCTAGGGTCCTTACAATGCTCCCACTTACAGGGGAGAAAGATATTTTCTTACTATTGTGGATGATTTTTCAAGGGCAACTTGGGCCTATCTTCTGTCTACAAAGTCCAATGTTTTCCCTACTCTTAAATCCTTTTTAGCTCTTATAGAAAGACAGTTTTCAGCTAAGGTTAAGATCATAAGATCGGATAATGCATATGAGTTAGGGACAGGAATAACTCCTTTAGATTTCTGTACTTCCAAAGGGATAGTTCATCACACATCGTGCATTGGAACCCCACAACAAAATGGGGTAGTAGAAAGAAAACATAAACATTTATTAGAGACATGTAGAGCCTTATTATTTCAGTCTCATTTACCAAAGAAATATTGGGGTGACTGTTTGCTAACAACAACTTACTTGATTAATAGATTCCCTTCAACAGTTCTACATAATAGATCACCCTATCGAGTTTTGTTTGGCAAATTGCCAGATTACTCTCATTTGAAGCCTTTCGGTTGTTTATGTTTTGTCTCTACTCTTTCTAGAAATAGAAATAAACTACAACCTAGAGCAATCCCTGGAGTCTTCTTAGGTTACCCTTTTGAAAGAAAGGATATAGAGTTTTGAACCTTCAATCGAATCAAGTATTTGTTTCCAGAGATATCAAATTCTTTGAGTCAATATTTTCTTTTTCTAATTCCGCTCCTATGTCAAAATTATTTCCAGCCAGTTTTCCTGTCTCTGATAAGGGAATGCCTATTTTTTCTTCACAACAAGAATCTAATTCACCTAATGTAACTACACCAGGTGTTATTTCATAATCATTTTCCAGTCCTAGAGGGTCAGGTTCCTCCATTGTTACTCTGTCTACATCTAGAGTTGAGTCAGTTCCAGCAGATGGGCTACGTAGATCTTCTAGAGAGCATAATATACCTAAATATTTATCAGATTACATATGTGATGCTGCTTATTCAGTAATTTCACCAAACCCACCTTTTACCCCGTTTCACTCTTACTCTTTCTCTGCATTTTCTCAACCAAATCAACAGTTTGTTAACACTATATGCCAAATTTCTGAGCCAAATTCTTACCAAGAAGCGGCCATTCATCCTGGTTGGCAAGCAGCTATGGCAAAAGAGTTAGAGGCATTAGAATCCAGTTGCACCTGGGAAGTATTTCAACTCCCTTTTGGAAGGAAAGCATTGCCTTGCAAATGGGTGTACAAAGTTAAAGTCAAATTTGATGGAAGTTTGGAAAAACTCAAAGCAAGGCTAGTAATATGATGAGATACACAACGAGAGGGAATAGACTACACAGAGACATTTTCACTAGTGGTGAAAATGACAACTATCAGATGTTTGTTAACTGTTGCAGTGAAGAAAGGATGGAAATTATACCAGTTAGAGTTAATAACGCCTTCTTACATGGCAACTTGAACGAGGAAGTGTTTATGAAGTTTCCACCAGGAGTTGCACCTCCAAGATTTTCCCTTGTCTGTCGTCTTCGCAAGTCCCTCCATGGTTTGAAACAGGCATCAGGCCAATGGTATGCTCGACTATCCTCTGCTTTAGGATCCAGAGGTTTCACCTCCTCGGTCAACGACTACTCCTAGTTCTTCAAAACTTTTGGGACTCTAACGACTATATTAGCCGTATATGTTGATGACATTCTCCTAACAGGCAACAATCAAGAAGAAATCAGTGAGATAAATCATTCCTTGATTTAGAATTTCGAATTAAGGACCTAGGAGAAACAACTTATTTTCTGCTGTATGGAACTTTTACACGAACCTGGAGGTATCATTTTGACTCAGAGGAAATTTGCAATTGACCTTATTTCTGAGTTTCATTCTCTACAATCAAGAGATGTTTCCACTCCGCTTGATTCAAACATTAAGCTTACTATTGATTCTGGTGAGCTTTTGCCGGATCCTACCATTTATCGGAGGCTCTTGGGGAAGCTAAATTTCCTCACAAATACCCGACCATATCTATCCTTTGCTATATAGACTTTGAGCCAATACATGCAATCTCCAAGATCTGGACACTATCAGGCAGCTTTACATACTCTTCGATATGTTCGAACTGATCCAAGTTTGGGACTTTTCTTCTTATCCGAGCCTTCGTTTCAGATTTTGGGTTATTGTGACGCAGATTGGGCATCTTGCTCGGATACTCGAAGATCAGTCACTGGTTTCCTCTTAAGCATAGGAGGATGCCCCCTCTCCTGGAAAGCGAAGAAACAACAAGTGATTGCTTTGTCTTCGGCGGAAGCTGAATATCGATCTATCCGATGTTTGGTAGCAGAACTTTCATGAATTGTTCGTCTTCTTGTTAACATATCTATTTCCCCTTCGCTTCCGGTCTCTGTCCGTTGTGACAATCAAGCTGCGATTCACATAGCCAAAAACCTAGTTTTTTACGAACGAACAAAGCATCGAAATTGATTGCCACTTCGTCCGCGAAAAATTGCTCGATGGTCTAGTTTCTTTGTCTTTTGTTCCTACTACAGCCCAAATCGCCGATATCTTCACAAAAGGGTTGGCAGGACCTCTTCATCGGAGTTTTTTAGGCAAGTTGGGAGTCCGATCTCCGGGCTCCCACTTAAGGGGGGGGGGGGTGGTGTTAACGAAGGTTTTGCCGGAGTTCTCACAAAAGGTGTTTCTCTTCAGCGTATGGATCAATGGTTATGGAAAAGAAGTCACAAGGGTCTAACTGATGTATCTAGAATTTGGGCCGGCTATTGGTCCAGTCTTGTTTCAAGAGAGACAATTGGACTGCTTTTTTATACTTGAGCCCAAGTTCATAGTCAGATTGAGCAAGCAGTAGAACTATCAATACATAAAGATAATACTATGGAGCAATCTAGAATTGCTGATTAGGATAATACCATTCCTCCTCTAATTTTATCTCACATATAGCTGTCTAATTGTACAAAATATAGCTGTCCATTGTACAAAATTGGTTATAGGTCTTTGTCTTTTTGTTTTTCCCCTTTTGTATAAGTAAGGGTACATATAAAATGTAAAAATACAACGTTTCAAAGGAATGGAAAATATTCCTATTGCTTTCAATACCATGGAATAAAATGCACCTATATAAAGCAAAAAAAATTAATACTACAAAGTATATATATTTATGTAGCCGATCACGAATTACATGTATGCATGTATATATTTGCGAATGCATGCATATGGAGTTACTACCAGTCTCAAATTTGCATCTTCTAAACAGCTGTTACTTAGAGTACTAGAAAATAAAAATTTTATTATTAGGATTTTTTAAATTCCTCGACTAACTTGCTCCACTTAGAAACTTTAAGTCAATTGAGAATAAGATGACTTGTCACTTGCAATATTTCACTCCAAAATCTACAAGATTTAATAAGAAAATTTATCTTCTTCTCTGTCGATGCATCTTATTATTCTTTGGCCTCAAAGACCTTCTGAAATGCTCTTTCCTTTGATCCCTTACTGATCTTCTTCCTTCAATTTTTCTAGAGGATCTGTGATATAAACTTCCTTGACCTTGTTCTTCTTCTGAAAAAGTAGTAGAAATATAGATATCTCTTTCATGTCTTGATCTTCTTGGCCTTTTATGACGAGGGTTGAGAAAAAACCGTTGAAGCTTAAAGCAGCAGAAAGTGCAACAACAATCTAAGACTGAAAAGCATGTAGAGATGCATGCCCATGTGGTTCTGCAAACCATGTCACAAATGCACCCACATATGCCCAACTTGTATAGCAAATACAAGAACAAGACAACTGCGCATTACCAAAAAGGGCACATATATAATTAGTGAAATGATAATTATGTTATATATCTTGTTTCCAACAATGTTTCTTTCACCATGAATAACTAAATGATACCCCTTCACTTCATTTGATCGGGCACGAAGTTTTACAGAGAAGTAAAGATTTTCACCACATACCAATAATATTCTTTGAACTTGTAATCTTAAACATGTCATGAGATTTCTACGGTCATATATAGTTGTGTAAAGCATTTTAGTACGGATAAAATTGAAAGCTTAAAGATAAATTAATTCCAAATATATATATATATATATATATATATATATAAAAGTGTTATTTCATTTTAGAACAAACTAAAAGAAGTATCATATAAATAAAACTGAGAGAGTAATACTTTATTAGTTAACTCAATTTAATTAGTCGAAGCAATAAAACAAGAGTTGTCAATAAATTGCGGCACATTGCCTATAATGTTAGACAGCTATCTATATATAGAAGCACTTATCTGGTAACTAAGAAACTCACCAAAATAGAATAGGATTGAGACCATGGCCAGTTTCAGCAAATGAGAAATGCAAAAGTTCTCTATGTAACAGAAGAAATCCCATGTCGGGCCGCATACTAAGCTGAAAAAACAGTACGTATATAATCAAGCCATAGATTGTTGTTTTATTCACAAAAAAAAAAAAAAAACGGGGGGGGGGGGGGGGGGTAGTAGGCAGCGGAAAAGAAAAATACAAAATTATTTAAAATACCATATACAAATATAACCTTATTATTTTATGGGAAAATGTCCAAATTTACCTCTCTACTTTCGTATATTGTCTACATCTAACCTCCATTATACTATTCAGCCAAATTTAGCCCTACCTTTATACTATCCTGCTAAATTTATCCTTGCCATCGGATGACTTTTAAAAATTACCCCTCGGACCGTTAGGTGACCCAAAATCTCCCAAATCATTTTAATTAGCTCACTTATTCTTCTTCTTGATCCAATACTTTTGAAATAGTTGGCATTTACCTGCTTTCTTAATCGGGAAAAAAAATAAGAGAAAAAAATATTAAAATAATACAACGGTTGGTAAACAAACTATAATAAATTGAAGAATCTAAATTAGGTAGCTTGTCTAAATTCTAAAAGTATTTACAATACCCCAGCTTTAATGAATTCATTCGTTCCACCAAAGGTATGGGGACTTTGCAAGTGTTAGTAATAGAAGTTGAAGTTCCTTGGAGAATTTACATTGTCGAATTCAACTTTGCTTTAATAATTTATATATAGTCGCAGATTTTGAATTACCTAAGTTTAAAAAGGTTGCTGATGGTAGTGGTAAATTTAGCAGGGTAGTATAATAGTAGGAGTAAATTTGGGCGGATAGTATGACGACGGTTAAATGTAAACAATATCCGAAAGTAAAGCGATGTATTTGGCACATTTCCCTTATTTTATTGAATAAATAAACACTGATTAAGTACATTACCTGCATGACTTTCCGGCTAAAAAATCAAATGGATGACCAAAAAGTTTTCCCAGAATTGCACCAAACCCTGATAACAATGGACCAATTACATTCTCCATCTTATAAACCAAATAGATTCCACACTCCTTAATTACATTTTCTGCAAGAGATTAAATGAATTTTCAGAATACAACAAAAGGTACTACTATAAGTGAAACAACTAGGATAATAGCCCTTGAACGTTGAGGAATGACAATAATTAAGTTTTAAAGTCTGATGATAACTGCCTTTTACATGTTTCAGATTCACTAATTGGTGGAAGTTTTCTAATTATATTTTACGAAATCAATTTTACTGTGTAAAAATCACATGAACTATGGAATTTGTATTTTACCATTAAAAGATAGAGAAGGAAAAGGACACTTACAGTTCGAAGTGTAGAAAATGATTGAGATCTAAAACCGAATCAACATTTGAAGTCCATCGGCTTTGTCAAACTGAAAATGGGCTTTTGAATTTTGAAAAATAATAGGGCCTAATGATATTCCAATGATACCGCGGGGGGAGGGAACAGAAATAGCCTCATTTACAATTGGTAATTGAAAATTAGTTACAGTTTGAAAAAAGTAATCGAAATTTAGTTATTTTTCATGTAAAGATAAAATCTGAACAAAATCATCCTTAATATCCGAAAAATTCCGGCATAATATGCCGGAGTTCGAATTTTTTACATATAAGATTCAAACATAATATGCTACAATTTCATAATATGCTGGAAGTTTATACGCAAAAGCTCCATAATCCAACATATTGGGTGTGTTCGGTATGAAGGAAAATATTTTCAAAATTTCTCATGTTTGGTTGGTTTAAATGTTTTGAAAAACAATTTCCTCGTGAACTCATTTTCCTTCAATTGGAGGAACATGTTTTCCCTCTCAAGAGAACGGATAATATTTTTCAAAACTCTTTTTCAACCTTCCCCACACCCCACCAACCCCCACCCTACCTCGACCCCCCGCCTTAAATAGAAATATCATTAAGAGTGCTTTCTTTTCATGTTGTAGATTTAGTACTTTCTTTTTCATTTCAACAAATATCGCAAACAACCTCTCTATCTCTATGAGGTAGGGGTAAGGTCTGCGTACATAATACCCTCCCCAGACCCCATTTATGGGTTCAAACTGGGTTTTTTGTTGTTGTTGTTTTTCATTTCAACAAAATGAATATTTTTTTCATGATTGTAAAAAAAACATTTTCTTTCATGTCAACAAAAAAGTACTTTCTTTTTATAATGTAGAAAAAGTATTTTCTTTATTTCAACAAAATAATGTAGTAAATAATATTTTCTTTCATTTCAATAAAATGAATATTTTCTTTTCTTGTAGAAAATATTTTCTTTCATTTCAACAAAATAAGTACTTTCTTTTCATATTGTAGAAAGAGTACTTTCTTTTCAAATAAAAAGGAGTATTTTCTTTTTAGTTATGGATCACAAATTTTAATGTTGCTTTTGCGTGAAAAAAGTAAAAAGCAGCACATCAGTTCCTTTGGGTTTGTGTGAATTTTTAAAAGAATAATTAAATTCTTGAAGAATATAAAATCCTAAAAACGTTGGGTATTTGGGGTGGGGGAGGGGGGTGGGGAGGGGGCAGAGCACAGGAAATATGGGAATTTGGGGATAGGGGTGAAGAGAATAGCATATAAAATTATTTTTCTAAAAATATTTTATAATCTCTAACCAAACACTAGAAAATATTTTTCACTCACCAACCAAACAAGGGAAAATGAGTATAATACCACTCATTTTCATGGAAAAAATATTCCTTCATACCAAACACACCTATTATATTGGAACTTTCCGTATTTCGGGTAGGGTACTTTTGTCCATATTTTATTTCTGGCTAGCCTATACAATTTTCACAATAATACCATATCTATCTTTGTTGATGGCACAATGTATGAGGCAAATTAAGGGTAAGTGCACAGATAACCATTCTCGGGAAAGCTATTTAGAGATTAACAGTACTTATTTTAACCTGAAATTTTAAACTAAAAATACTAACTTTAGGACAATTCACGATATTTTTGTCCTGAAAAACTGAAATTTAGGATCCACTGGATAATTTCTAAATAGCATCCCTTTAAAATGTTTATCTGGTGTCATTTCTACGACAAATTATATGTTCTTCGGAACAATAGTTGGGCCAATGTATCTTCATTGAAGTATTAACCTAAATAGCCCACCCAACCACGTAAACTAAGAATAATCGGTAAAGGTATAATATATTCATAATTAATTATGTATTATATGTGTATAATTAATGTATAATCTATATATATGGCTAGCGAAAGTAAACAATGAATATGATCGGCTATTTGTATAAAGATCCCTTCTTCATTGGAGGGAGGCCTACAGAAAGGGTGTAATAGAATTTGTCCACGGGTACCGCTACAACAACAACAACAACAATATGCTCAGTATGATCTCACGAGTAGAGTTTGGGGAGAGTGGGTATATATGTGTTTACCCTTAAAAATGGATAACAATTGAATTTATACGCGATTTTAAGGATATATGGGCTAATTCAATAAAAGTGAATAATGACGTTAGATAAGCAAATTAAGGATAGAATAAACAACCAAATTAGTAGTAATATTGAGTCCGAGATCGATTATAAGCTTAACAACTAGCCTGCCTTCGGTTCGGAGCCAAACACTTATGAAGAATTATGAGCGAAATTAAGAACTTTGAATAACTTTTAGAAGCAGAGAAAACAGATGTATATTGCATTGGTATGCATGTTACAGTGTCCCTATTGAATAATAAACTTCCCCTTTATAGAGTAGGGGAGTTTTACCCTAAGTACAATTCTATGAAAGGTAAAAATCTTCCCTTTCGCTAATCACTAATCTACTGCCGATACGGGCCGAGATCCACGCCGTGATATCCGGTTGGGCACGGATATCACGGCCCTTTGTTAATCGTGTGTAGATGCTTGGTAATGCTTTCCGAGGTCTTGAAACTCGGACCGAATCCGGGTGGCGTGGTCTAGATGGCTCCGAGGGCAAGTGTTTGTTCGGGCCTTGATATGAGAGGATCCTAGCTTCGATTTCGATTCCTTGTAGTTACGCCCTTGCTTCATTTGCCCCAATGGGACATCGGAGTGCTCATTAGCCTCGGTTTTATCCGTATATAATATGCAGACCATACCCTGCATCGTGTAAGGTAGAGAGACTGTTTCTAATAGACCATCGGCTTAAAAAAAATATTTTCAAAACATGTTTAAAAATGTTGGACTTTAAGCATTGGGCTTTAAAAGTCTAAGAGTGTGAATTGGAAATGGTGGAAAATAAAATGAAGGGAAATAAAAATTTGAATGAAGTAAGCTTTTGTCTTGAACTTTGTCCCTCTTTGGTGAGGGACAACTACACTTGTGTGTATATATATAGGATCACTTCTTAGAGCTCTTAAAAGGAGTTGAAGAGAATGAACCCTCGCGCCGTCGTCGCTCGCTCGCTCGGCTCGGCTTTGGCTTTGGCTTTGGATTTGGATTTGGATTTGGATTTGGATTTGTCAAATGATCGACCGATAAGATTATTTTTTGGACAAAATTTATTTAATTAGTTATTTAATAATTAATTAAAAGCCAGTCAGTTAATTAAGGAAATTAACTGAAATCTGAAATCCAAAAATGCTGAACGTTAATTTTCCCTTCTGAACAGACACTTTTCCTGAACAGACATAACACCTCTTCCGATAATTGCCTATAAATTTTGAGGCATGGCTGCATTTTCGACACACTGAAAAATTACAGAACTTCCTTTCTTCTGAAAATCCTGCATTCTATTTCGCAAAATCTCTTCTAAATTCGTAAGTGTGATTTTGCTCCGTTCTTTGAGTTCGTTGGTATCCTACAGTTTGTATTGCCACTGTTGCAGGAAGGTTTATTCCGTTTCATCCTGGGAGGATTTAGTCCATTACCTTGGCAACGTGTGAGCGGGTTAAAATTCCTTAAGGACGTACAAGCAAATTGTGGACTCGGAATATCTTTTACACTTTACTGTTTTTCCAGTTTTTTCTTCTAACAGTCTTTCTGATTTTGTGTTTTAACACAGTAGCGTTTACAAGCTTAAGGAATTTTATCTAACGTTTCAGTGTTGAAATATATATTAAACTGTTATCTATATTTTGTATACTGGTTTGGAGACTAAAGCCTTCGTGCTTCCTACTCCAATAATTGTTCTGTCCGGTTTAAAGTATATCAAAACTTTACTGGAATAATAAACGTACGGGTTTGAAGTATATAAAAACTTCACCATTGTTACGTGGTGTATGTTTGGTTTGGTATTCAGTTTGAAGATATCAAAACTTCACTGATTTAACAAAGTTCTGTTTTGTTTCCAACTCTACAGAAAAATGACGAATGAAAACCAAACTAATGGAAATGTTGCGGGAACGGGTGCTACTGTTACGAGTGTTGCTGCCTCGTCAAGCCGTTCAACTCGTGCTCATGCTATGGCACCAGCAGAAAAACCCGAAAAGTTTTCCGGTATTGACTTCAAACGTTGGCAAATGAAGATGCTCTTCTATCTTATTACGTTGAGTTTGCAGCGATTTATCAAGAAGGATCCTCCGGTCCTGGATGAAGGCACTCCGGAGACGAACGATTTGTTGTAACTGAAGCATGGAAACATTCTGATTTCTTGTGCAAAAACTACATTTTGAGTTGTTTGGAAGATAGCTTGTACAATGTCTATAGTGTCATGGAAACTTCAAAAGCGTTATGGAATGCGCTTAAGAAGAAGTACAAGATTGAGGATGCCGGACTTAAGAAGTTCGTGGCTGCAAGATTTTTGGTTTTCAAGATGATTGATACTAGGTCGGTCATAACTCAAGTCTAAGAATTACAAGTCATTGTGCATGACCTCCTTGCTGAAGGTATGACCCGAATCAATATTTTATTAATAACATTTATCTTGTTATTAATTATGAATTTATTATTGAAGGTATGGTCATAAATGAGGCCTTTCAAGTTGCCACTTTCATTGAGAAGTTACCTCCGTTGTGGAAGGACTTTAAGAACTATCTAAAACACAAGCGGAAGGAGATGACACTTGAAGACTTGATTGTTCGTTTGAGGATAGAAGAAGACA